TGATGATGATGATGGTGAAGGTGGGGATGGTACTGATGTGACCGAGGATGCTGATGTTGATGCTGATGCTGATGATGATGATGCTTGCGAATCTGGCGATGATGATGCTCCGAATGACGATGATGACGAAGATGACGAAGCTGATGATGCTGCTGCTGCTGATGCTGCTGCTGCTGCTGCTGCTGATGATGATGATGATGATGATGATGATGATGTTATGATGATGATGATGATGATGATGATGATGATGATGATGATGATGATGATGATGATGATGATGATGATGATGATGATGATGATGATGATGATGATGATGATGATGCCAGTGGTGCTGACGATCACCCAAAGATCCGACGTCATGATTTGTTAAAGACGGGGGGGTCCCCGGAAGTCTCGACCCATTCCCCAGGACCGGTTTTTCATCCCGAGTCGTTCTTTGACGGCCCCAGGGCCCGGCGAGGGCCGCTAGAGGCCGCAAATCGAGAAAAGCCTCCGTCTCGATTTTTTTGTCAATACGTTGGAGGTCTGGGCACGGCGGTGGTGCCGGTGTTCTTCGGCGGTGGGCAAACCTCCCTGTGGCAAACCTCCTCTTGGTGAAAACGGCCTGGGACCGAAACCGACGGACCTGGACCGGCAAAAACTACGGCCGCAGCGCCCTCTCGCGAACCGAACAACGGCCAGCTCACGAATCGACGCGTCAGGGCAGGAGGCCTATCCGCCCCCGCGTTCTCCCCTCGAGGGGCCGAGCGCCGCGAGCAGCGCCCACGGCGCCGCGGCGCCGCACGCCGCCCACGGGGCGCCGGCGCCGCGCGCCCGCCGCGCGGCGAGCACCGCGCGCAGGGCGCCCGCGAGCAGCAGCAGCGCGCCGCCCGCGCGCGCGCCGAGGGCGCGCCCAGCCACCGCGCGCCTGCCGCGGGAGGCACGCCGCGCCGCCGCCGGGGGAAGGAGGAGGAGGAGGAGGAGGAGGAGGAGGAGGAGGAGGAGGAGGAGGAGGAGGAGGACGAGGTTCGAGGTTGAGGAGGAGGAGGAGGAGGAGGAGGACGAGGAGGAGGAGGAGGAGGAGGAGGAGGAGGAGGAGGAGGAGGAGGAGGAGGGGGAGGAGCGCCTCCCGAGCCGCGGGAGGCACGCCCGGCCGCCCGAGGAGAGAGAATGCGCCCCAGGGATCGCAAGCGCATCGAAGAAAAATCAGGACGCAGAGGTTGTTCGCCGTATTCGGCCTCTATGTAGAGGCCCTCGCCGGGCCTCGGGACCGTCCGAGAACGACTCGGGACGGCACGGCGGCCCTGGGGAATGGGTCGAGACTTCCGGGGACCCCGTGTGGAACAAATCGCGACATCGGATCTTGGGGTGCCCAGAGATCCGAGAGGACCTGATGTTTTCAATGCGGCGGGTTTTCTTGGGCTTCGGCCTCCGGGGCCCTTTGTCGGGCCCGGAGGCCAGTGGAGATGGCTCCAGGGCGAAAAGCCACTAAAAGCCATATCGGCGGACGTCTGGGTATGCACCTGCAACGATTCTGACGAGCCCAGCATCAGTGCTCATAGGCCCGGCTGCCTTCTGGCCAGGGAAGCCCACTTCTGCACCGCTCCTGGGCCCGGGATGGGCCTGGCCGGGATCGGTGCACGTGCCTACTTCGTGTCGCCCGAGCAGCATCGGTCCTCGATCCTGTCCTCGATCACGCTTGCCGCGGGAGGCACGTCCAGCAGCACCGGTTCTGGCTTGTTGAGGGCCAGCGGCAGCTTCGCCCCGTGTCGACCCCAGCGTTGGCTCCCGGAACCGCGGGGGTCGTGCGAGCGTGAACGAGCGGGCCGTGGCAGAAACGCCGAATCGTTCAACGATGGGCCGGCTCTGGGCAGCGGGCGGCGCTCAACCTGAAAGGCCCGCGCTGGGATCGCAGCCAGTCGACACGACGCGAACCTGCCGTTCCTCCCCATCGCCGAGGGAACACAGATTGTGGCCTCTTGGGGGGGGTCCTGAGGGGGGTCCGAGAGCACTTGGATCCGTCTTGTGGCCATCGTCGGGCCTCTTGGGAGGGGTACGCTTGTGGATGCCACGACAATGCACACCCTAACAGTCCTATCATCGAATTTAACATGTGTTTGTTTTTTTATAAAGATAACAGAAAATGTTCTAAACATGTTTTCAATATGTGCTTTACATGTTTAACACATGTTTAACACATGTTCTAGACATCTGGAAATTATTTGGCAGCATGCTTCCTCTCCACTGATCCTCCACAAGTCCTGTGGCCTTCGTCAGGCCTCTTGGGGGATGTCGGACGCTGTCTTAGGACACACCATCACGACGGGAGGTTTTTGTTGGCCGTTCTCGGCCTCCAGAGGGCCCGCCCCTCCCGCTGTGCCCAAAGGCCGTCGGGAGTCAAGACGCCGAGGGCGGCTCGGGGAAGGGGGGCCAAACTCGGCGGAGGACAAGCCTCCCTTCAGCACACCTCCCTTTCGTGAAGATGGCCTGGGACCGAAACCGACGGACCCGGACCCGCCAAGAGGACGGCCACGCCGCCCTCTCGCGAAGCGAGAACGGCCAATTCGTTAATTCATCGACGTGTCAGGGTAGGAGGTCTGTCCACCCCCGAGTCCCGGGCAAAGGAGTCTGGACCTCCGGTTGTCGAGCGATGTCCGGCGGAGTCGACGCGGCGGGGGGGCGGAGGGGGGGGGCGAAAGCCCCCCCCCCCCCAGCGAGCAGCAGGAGCCCGACCACTGCGCGCCCACCGCGGGAGATCCGTGGGCGAGCAGCTTTGTGGGAGGTCTTCGCGGGAACGAGTCGGGACTGTCGGGTCCGGTTGAGGGGCCGTTGGGTAGACGCCTCGCAGGTGGGGTCAGAGCAGATGGGGTCGGAGGATCGCGCCGCATCGTCGAGCCGTCACAGATGAATCGGTGATGCGCCAACGACGTCGGTGACGCATCAGCGCCGTCGGAGCGGAGAAAATCTGGCTCCACATCGAGCCGCATCGCCGATGCGTTGGCGATGCGGCGGGATCCTCCGACCCCATGTGCTCGGACCCCATCTGGGAGGCTTAGAATTAAGCCCGACTGAGGGGCCATTGAGCCGAATCAACAGCTGGATTCAGCTGGATTGAGCGGGACTGGGCGGAAGCAAACGGCATGATGCCAGTTTAGGCCAATGTTCGCCCACCGAGATACCAGCGCCGATGCTCCATCGAGCCGCCCAAGGGGTGACCTCCGAGGGAGGCACGTCCAGCAGCATCGATCCTCGATCCTCGAGCCTCGAGCCCCCTCCTGTCGCACTCCAAGACCCAGATCTCCGACGGTCGGCCCGAGGTTCTCGGTCCGGGAGCTGTCGGCCTCCCTGGCAAGACGAGGCCTGGACGAGGGTACAGTCGAATGAGGATACATCGAAAACCTCTGAGATCCGGAGGCTCTGGAGGATGCCTCGGGCGCCGCGGCCTCCTCAGAGCGCTCCCGAACGCTCTGGGAGCGTTCCAGAGCGCTCTGGAGCAGATTTGTCCTCGTCTTAGCCAGGCCGGACGACGACGACGTCGTGGGAGGTACCGCTGGCCCTAATTGATCTATGGTGACGGCTGGAGGGCTCTCCAGGACAGATTTCCAGGTAGGATTTCGTGGTGCTCAGGGTGGCACGGCTTCGTGGGCAGCGTTTGCAAACGATGGCATTTACCTCACCTTCCAATTTCGCCTGCCGTGCCAGCTCGCTATTCTTTCGAAGATCGCGTGCAAGGTGACGCCCATGGGTCCAGCGCCGATCCGAGAACTCCGCGCGGACCTCCGAGTCTTTATGTTTATGTCATTCTTCGTTCCCCTGGAGAGCGGGAGGCCACTCAGCGAGAGCCCAGCCACCTCCGCGCAGGCCCCCGGGATACCAATCCAGTGGTGGGGTGCGCTCACGACGCACGCACACGGCACCACCAAGCATCGCCACCACCAGACAGGCCAGGGCTGGAGCTAAACGTTGCTGTTCGTTTTGTGTTCGCTTTGCTGTCGTTTTGCTCTGCATGGTTTCCTGCGCCTCCCTGCCAAAACGAAGAGCAAAACGCAGCCGAAGCCCAGCAGAACAGCGTTTGGGCCCAGCCCTGGGAGAGGCCGCCACGACGCCTCGGCCCAGGCAGCACCCAAGCGGTGCAAGACACGGTCTTCAGCGCCCCACGCGCGAGGACCGAGACGGAGCCCTCGTCGCACCGACGAGACCTCTTCATTTCGGGAACGCGCACCTGGCATCCAGCATTGGGTCGGGCCTGTCCCCCACGACATGTGGATTTTGGACGCAAGCGAGTAAATAGGTTGGACTATGTCTTGACCATTCTTCAATATTCCCCCTGTCGAGGAACAGTCCCGACCTAATTCCAGCAGCAAAATGCCGCTGCCGCGGGCCTGCCGGCAGAACCCGTCCGAGACGGGACGGCCGAGCTCCAAACCCCCTGGGCGCCTCGGCTACACCGCCCCCGGGCGAGAGCGGGGCCGAGACCCAGCTGCCCCGCGGGCCCCCGCCAGCTGCAGGACGCGCCGCGCAGCGCCGCGAGGTCGGTGCCACCGCCGGCGCTGGACCTCCGAGCGCTCGTCGGCGCTGTCCTCCAGGCCCTCGTCCGCACCGCGGCGGACGCTGGGAGTCTCCGCCTCGGCGCCGTGTCCGCCAGGGCGCCGGGGCCCAGCGCAGCCGCGCAGGCACCCCTCCGAGAGCGCTGATGCCCCCGCGCCCGAACCGCCCTCGAGAGCGACGCTGGCTGCTGCACGCCCTCATCACGGCCCCCTGGACGATCACGCGCGCCTCGCCGCCGACGGCGCCGCCCGCATCCTCGGCGAGCGCTGCGTCGTGGAGGTACGGCGCGGTCTGCACCACCTCGGTACCGTCTCGTGGCCGAGCGAGGCCGGGGCCCGCCGCCGACCTGTGCCGCCGGCGCGACCTTTACGGTGCCCATGGACGGGCGCGTCCACGACAGGGCAATCGAGCGAACCGTGCCCAGACCGACGGCGGCGTGTCGGCGGCGGCCTGGATCGCCACGCCCATCGCCGCTACCGACGACGCCACAGCGGATCCAGCACGATCCTTGGCGGCCTGACGAGCGGCTGCTGTTCCTCAACGTCATCGTGAAGATGATCGACCCCGCAGCACCCACGAGGATCGGCGCCATCACGTACCTCAGCAACTTCGCATCCGGTTGCCGCGGCTCCCGCGCGAGCCTCATCTCGTGCAGACTCATCCACAGCGGCGCTGTGAGCATTGACCGCACGTGGGTCCGCACCCAGGGTGAGCTCCTGCGCCACGTCAGGCTGGCCGTCGGGGCCCGTGGGAGCGCCCAGCGGCATCTCGAGCGCCAGGCCCTCCGCGATGCCCTCCGCCCGCAGCTCGCTGGCCCCCCACGCCTCACCAGGCCGAGAGTCCATCGACGGCAGCCAGTGGACCACGCAGCCTGCTTCCTCCCGAGCCACAGCGCACTCCATGCACCGCTCCCAGGCCTGGGCAGAGGGGCGCTCGCCGGGCTGGACGTGCTGGGTCAGGGAGCGCAGCTCCGCGAGGGCCTCCGAGGCTTCGGGGACGGGGTGGTCGCAGCCGATCGTCACGCCCTCGACCTGGACCTGGCCGCCCTCAGTCTCTAGAGCGCCGCGTCGGCGGGGCGAACGGCCATGCCCTCGACCCCCCTGCGGAGCTCCCAGGCCAGCGCCCCGGTCGCCTTGAGCCCCGCCACGATCACGTCGCGCTCAGCCATGAGCCCCCCGCGCTCTTCCACGAGCGCCGCGATGCGAGCCTTGCCGTCCACACCATCGCCGCCGCCGTCCTGCACAGCGCAGCAGCCCTGGCCGGCGCAAGCGGTCCACGCCCTCCGAACCTCGGAAGAACGCAGCGGCCGGAGCCGACCGACACGCCCTCGGCCTGGGCCTGCACGATCACCTCGTCGCGCTCCGCCGACTCCTCCGCCGAGCCCCGCAGCGCGGGGAAGGGCGGCAGGGAGGCGAACGTCCACACCTCCCTGCATTCTTCCGCCACCTTGGGCCTCACGTCCGGCGACGGGCCGCCTTGCCCGCAGCACGCCGTCCAGCGTCACCGCGCCGCGCTCGACCGCCGGGTTGGCGACCTTGGCCCCCTCGCCGACCGCGCCGGCCAGGCCGCCCAGCAGCTGCTCGACTGCCGTCGCGCGCGCGGCCTTGCACCCAGCCGAGGCTGCAGCTGCCGCGGCGCCCAACCGCCGCGGGGAAGCTCGCCTCGGCTGCCACGGCAGCGCCCGCAGCAGCTGCCACCGCGGCCGCCACCAGGCCCTCGGCGCCCCCGGGTGGCCATCCGCCGTCGCCCCCGGCGCTCTGCCGCGTGTCGCGGCCAGAAGCCCGCGGCCGGCCGCCACAGCGGGCAGAAGCTCTCACCGCCAGGGGTCGTAAGAGCAGCGCCGGGCGCACCGTTCGAGCTCGAGACCAGGCTACGCGGACCCTCGGGCTCTAGAGGTTGGCGCCGCAACGGCTACGGATGTTTGTGTGTTCTGTGCGTGTGCTTGTGCGTGTGCGTGTGTACGCCCTCATGATCTTGGCCAGAGAGGCAGACAAACTGGTCCTTGGACAGGGATGGGCCTGGCCAGGATCGGTATTTACTCTGCAGAGATCCGATGTGACGAACAAACATGCAACACAGAACACGACCAGAGCCCTAGATCCCATCTTTCTGCGGCATTCTTCGAGCCGGATCGATCTGTGATGGTCCCAGGGCCCGAAGCAACGCAACATCGCCTGGTCTGGAATAATATCACGCACAGATGTCAAGGACCGCCGACATGATTTGGGGTGCGGACCGCATCCCCAGGGATAATTGTTCGTCCCGGATCAGCTTTTGACGGCCCCAGGGGATCAAGGCAGTCCCCGAGGGTCAAAACCAAGCAAAAAAAATTGCAACAAAGACCCCAAACAACGGATGGTTTGAAATGGGATCGATAAGGAGATCGATAAAGAGATCGACCGGGAACCCGGGAACCCGGAACCGAGCTTGGAACTGGGAACCTGGGAACCCCGCCGGCCACCGAAACCGGCGGGAAACTCTGGCCAATAGTCTTCAAATATCCGCCATGACCCCTTCAGTGCAAGCACTAGCGGGGGGGGAAAAATCGCTGGCTAGACAGGGAAAACACGCAGTCGTCGGAGATCTGGGCCTGCGGCGGGCCCCCGCCCAGCCTCCAGGAGTCCGCGCCCGGCGCCTCGGTGCGGCGGAGCACGAAGCGGATGCCGCTCGCCCCCTTGCCTGGCGAGCGGCAAAAAAGTATCCTTTCAATTCGGGCGTGTGCCTCTACAGGAGGAAAATTCAAGAAAACAACAAAAAAAACGGAGGGGGGGAGGATAAAAAATCAGGGACAGATTGTTCGACTATGTTTGAACTTTGGAGTTGACTCGTTCCTTGCTCCTCACCTACAATCCCAGACCCCCGACGTCATGTGATTTTCATGGCGCGGACCCCCCAGGGGTCTGGACCCATTCCCTTTGACCGGTTTTTCGTCCTGACTTGTTTTGTTGACGGTCCCGAGGGCCGGTGAGGGTCCCCAGAGGCCGAAAATAACGAAAAACTCGCCGTCGAGAATTTGTCATAATGAGAGGGGGTCTGGGGTACTTCTGCTCTTCGCCCACGAATGGCCGATGCGCACGCGCTCATCGACGTAGGGCGCGTCCAGCACCACGCTGCTCCGCGGCCCCGCGCGGAGCCGGAGCGGGGGGATCCACCCCGCGAGGCCGCCGCGGCTGCGGGGCCCCACCGCGATGCAGGGCGCCTCTGGCGGTCGGAGGGCAGCTTGTTGTCAGAAGCCAGGCGAAGGCTGGCGAACCCGTGGCTGCCAGAAAACGGAGCTCGGGGAAGCTGTTTTCTTCTTCTGGAAGCAGCCCGTTTACCATATGCAGCCCCCCAGGTAGCCCTATAGCCCTTTAGCCCCATAGCCCTATAGCCTTATAGCCGTAAAACCCTTCTAGCCCTATAGCCCTTAGCCCTATAGCCCCATAGCCCTATAGCCCTAAAACGATGCTGATTGGGGCTCTTCTCCGGTATCATTGTGTACTGTGTGCATCACATGTGTCTTAATGTGTAACGTGTGCATCAAGTTTCGGAGCTCCGCGTGGCCTTCTCGGGTCGGAGACTGCAGTTTTCTTCACACCGGGCGTACTCGCATGGCCTGATTCGCGTCGACCCCCATTCTTCCACGCTGAGAGAAGGACTCGTCTGGGTCCAAGGGGCGATGAGCTAGGCCGTTTTTCAGAACTGGGGCGAGGAGTCCGTTCGTGGCCGAGGCTCGCCGTGGCAAGGTGGAAGCCCCCGGGGCAGCTCACAGACCGCGCCGGCTCAGAGCAGGCCGCAGAAAGCTGGGGGGTCTATGGGGCTCGGGCGGTTCTGGTTTTTGCGATGTTGGAACTTGTTTTTTGCGACGTCGGATCTCAGGAGGCCCATGCTTCTAGTGCTCGCGGCCACGCGCATGACTGGAGGAGGGGGAGGAGGAGGAGGAGGAGGAGGAGGAGGAGGAGGAGGAGGAGGAGGAGGAGGAGGGGAGGAGGAGGAGGAGGAGGAGAGGAGGGGGAAAGGAGGAGGAGAGGAGGAGAGGAGGAAGGGCGGAGGGGAGGGGGGGAGGAGAGGAGGAGCGGAGGAGGAGAGGAGGTGAGGAGGAGGAGGAGGAGGGAGGAGGAGGAGGAGGAGCCCTCACTCTTCCCTCCCTCCCGTGGGCACGTCACGACTCGCGCCGCGCCTTGTGGGCACAACGCAGTTTTCTGGGCCTTCGGCATTCCCAAACGGCGCTGGCGCGCATCGTGAGGTGACCGGTCGCATTCTCCCCTGCCCCCCCCGCCCGGGTCACGCCCGGGATCGCCAGGAAACAAAGAGACGCTCTCCAAGAGACGGCGGAAACAGAAAACCGTGGAGGGGCCTCGCGGACTCCTAGGAAGTCTGCGCGGAGCTCCACGAATTCATGCTTACACCGCGTCTTGCCCCCGGACGCGCCATCTCCGGAGTTTTCCCATACTTCGGAAGGGACCGACCATCCTGGCATTCCTATAGTCTTACCACGATATGTTGTTAGCAACCCAAAAATGCTCTAGGAACAAAATAGTGTTCTTAGACCATACACCCGCTGTGATAAAACAAGACAGGCTCCGCCAGAAATGTTCCAAGAACATTTCGTGGGAACCACAAAAGGTTCCTAGAACCTTGTTTGGTAGGGCTATAGGCGAACCAAGACGCTTCGCCACTGCTTGACATACGCGGTCCCGGGAAGTCTGGACCCTTCCCTGGCACCGGCTTCGCATCCCGAGTCGTTTCTTCGGACGGTCTCCGGGCCGCGCGCGAGGGCCCCTGGCCCTGGGCGTCGGAAAGCCTCCGCCCTGCATGTTCGACGGCGCGAGCATGTCGAGGAGAGCCCGGAGTCGAATCGAAATTCGGATCGGCGATCAAAATGAACCGGCTTGGCGAACATCGGCAGCCAAGTCGAGAGAAGTCCAAGCGGCGGACAACGGCAGGCTTTAGCCATGGCGGAATCGGAGTCCAAATCGGAAGGCGAGCTTCGGAGTCGAATCGAGTCGGAATGGGAAGCTATCGGAATCAAATCGAATCGGAGGAGCCGATGTGAGCCATGCGTGTCTGGGTTGTTTTCTCTTCGAGATACAGAGACGCCTCGAAGTCCGCGCGCACGGCGTTCGCCGTCAGGCCGCCTGGGGTGCCCCGCTCCTGCGCCACCCGGGCGCGCTCGGCCGCACTGAGCCGGGTGGCCTGGCCAGGGGACTCCACGTCGTATACACCACGCCGCTTGGTCGGCCAAGGAGCTCGGCGTACAGACGCACCAGTCATCGCCCTCGTGCACGTCCTCGTCGTCGTCCTCGCCCTCGTCGCCGTCGTCGTCGTCGTCGTCCTCGTCGTGGTCGTCATCGTCGTCGTCGTGGTCGTCGTCGTCGTCGTGTCGTCGTCGTCGTCGTCGTCGTCGTCGTCGTCGTCGTCGTCGTCGTCGTCGTCGACGTCGTCGTCGTCGTCGTCGTCGTCGTCGTGGTCGTGGTCGTCGTCGTGGTCGTGGTCGTGGTCGTGGTCGTGGTCGTGGTCGTGGTCGTGGTGGTGGTGGTGGTGGTCGTCGTCGTCGTACACCCCCTTCGAAAAATGGCTCAACGCGGAGATCCCCGTATCCTCAGATCCTGGCGTTGCAATTTTTTCACAACGTGCGTTTCCCCACCGGTGTTGGACCCTAGGACCCTCGCAGATCGACCCAGGTCGAAAACAATGCAGAAATATGACATCGGGGGTTCCGGTCGTGATTTTCTGCGATGCTGCATTTTGTGGCACAGTGTCGGATCTCCGGGTATAGACGCCCAAGTCGTGCAACTCGTGCGAAGCTGGAGCGGCCATTACGAGAACGGCACCCATTCACCGTACCATTACCCATCGGTCGGATGAAGTAGGTAGAAACATGAAGCGGGAAGGCGTTGAAAGTACATTGGGTGTCCGCCCGCCCCCCACAGAGGACGAAAACGGTGAAGCCACTCGATCATTGAAGTAGGAAGGCGCTTCAAGAAGATTGGAATTTGGGAATCCAGCAATACCTACCTTCAACGACCGATGGGCACGACGTACCACGTCCGGACTCCCCGCAGGCCCGGCTCCAGCGCGGTGCGGCGGGTAGCTTCGCTCGGCCCCTTGGGGCCGAGAAGGCCCCAATGCCTCGAGGAGCGGCGAGAAGCCTCTTGGAGGCGCCGGCGCGGTACGGTGCACGCATGTCGTCCGCGGATCCGTACACTACAGAGGGACGTGCTTGGAGGCTCCCTTCCGACCCGAGCATATGGTACACCCATCGTGTGGTACATCGTTTCCCGAGCGGCGTTGCCAGAAAGCGCCAGCCACGACGCACATACTAGAACTAGAAGATTTCTCGGTGCGCGCGTCGCCCCCGGGGGGGGGGGGGGCACGCGCTTTACAGTATTAGTATGTTGGGGTGACGCCTATGTCATACCAAATTCCTGTGCCGAATTCGCTGTTTCCTTGGCCGACCAAATGACCCAGACCCCCGAAGTCATGATTTCTTCCATGGCGTGGACCACCGATGCGCGGTCTCGACCCATTCTCCGGGACCGGAGTTCCATCCCGAGTCGCCTCGTTGACGCTCCCGAGGGCCGGCAAGGGCCCCCCGAAGGCCGAACATAGCGAAAACCCCACCCGTCATGAACTGTTCATTTCATAGGGGGTCCGGGTCCCGGGTCGGTCTTCGGGCCTGGGCGCCCACGGAACTCTCTTGGCGAGGCGCAGGTGCTGGAGAGCGTCCCGAGGCTGGCACACCGCCGAGAACCGACGAACCGCCGAAGACCCCTTGCCCCCCTCTGCGCGTGGCCGACTGATCCCCACGAGTCGTGATTTGCTCGTGACCCGGGGGGAGTCTGGGTTCGTTGGCTACTTTAGGGAACCGACCTCTATATACACCGACGCTGTTTGCGGCCCTGCACTGAAGTTTGCACAAGAAAGCGGATCCTGGTGTATACGGAGTCCTGGTGTATACGGTTGTCGTCGCTTCCGCGGGACAGCGGGACAAAAGGTATGCGCCACACCAATCCGACGTCGTCCCCGACCCTCAACAAAAATCCTGGGACTGAAAAGCAGCCCGCCACTGGTAGTGTATACGTTGCAGTTTCCGATGCTTGGCCGACCAAGCGGCGCGGTGTCCACGGCGAGCCCCCCCCCTCCGCTGGCCGAGCCGCGCAGGACGACGGTGATGGGCAGCAGGCCCAGGAGCGCGGCCTCGACGCAGTTCACCGCCGTGATGCTGGCACCGGGAGGCAACTTCTGTCGGCCCACCCCCACAAGAACCACCCCGACACGCGAAGTCGTTCAGCAAGCGCGCCCAAAGAAGGAATCGAGCAGGGCAGGGCTGTTGAGTGAACGCCAGCTGTCGGGTCCGGGTGGCTTTTCCCCCCTTGGGGGAAGTGAGGGGGAGAAGGCCTTCTCAGAAGGCGGCGGGGCTGCGCAGAAGGCCAGGTTTTCGGCGTCTTCGGGGAAGGCTCAGAAAACTTCTCAGAGGGCTTTGGGCCCGGGGACTTCCGAGCCTTCTGAGGAGGCCTGCTCCTTCTCACTCCCCCGCCTGGAGCTCGCCGTCGAGATTAGGTTCTGCGGGAACTCACGGGCGCCTCCTATACTGTCCTGTTGGCTCTTGCGAATCGACGCTGTTCGACGCTCGTCGACGCTAATGAGCGCTAAATCGACGGTAAACGACACGGACCCGGCGCTATCTCATCGATTACCAGACGACAATCGAAGCGAATGCACCTTGAAAACGGCATTACGAGGGTACACAAGGCTCCCATGTTTTGCAACCGAAAGATTAAGCCTGATCAAGAAGCCAGTACACCAGACTAAGCTGGATTATAGTCAACTGGTATTATAAGGATGCGCGGTAGGGATACAAGGGCCTTGGAGGCCCACGCGAACGTTTTTCGAACGAGGCTGGCCAGCGAAGTTCGCTGAGGATGGGCCGAAGGGGCAAGGATGCAATGGCACTCCGAGTTTCTTCCTAAGCGTCTTGGGGGGCGTCACCCCCGCCGACAGCCCCACATGCCACATCGACCCCCGTCGCGGGCAACCACCGCGCGCCGAAGGCGCTCCGACCCCCGTCGCAGCGCAGCGACGAGGCGAGGTTGACCCCCGTCGGGGGGGTGGAATACCCCTGGAAACAAGGGCTCCCAGCTTCGCGCTTCGCGCTGCGCGAAGCGCGAAGTGCGAATAACTTCGCGCTCTCGCGCCGCCTCCCAGGGGAGAAGAGGAGGATGAGGAATCGGAGCCGAACCGCGAAGCGCGAATAACTTCGCGCCCTCGAGGGCGCCCTTGTGGAAAGGTTGCCCATCCTCACTCTGCGGGTGGACGCTACGCCGCGGACGGGGCCGGGTCAGACTGGAGCTCCCGCGGCGCGGGTCGGGGCTCGGCACCTGCTGCCAGATGAGGCCGGTGTTCGGCCGCGGGAGTAACCACCAGCGCCGAGGCCGCAGGGACAGGGAAGCGGGATGAAAAAGTTGGCACATCAGTGAGCCCAGGCCCCCTCGAAAAAAAAACACGACGGGAGGTTTCTCCCTGTTCTCGGTCTCTGGGGGCCCTCACTGGCCCTCGGGACCGTCAACAGAAAGACTCAGGACGAAGAGCCGGTTCTGGGGAACGGGTCCAGACCGCTGGGGGTCGACGTCATGACGTCGGGGGCCTGGGAAGGTGCAGCTGGCCAGGGCTGGAAACACTGGCAGGGGGCGAGGCGAGCCCGAAACAGCAGGGCTGCGGTCGCCGGGGCTGGGAAAGCTCGAGGGGAACTGGCCAGGGCTGGGGAGTGGACGGGCTGGCCCCAATCACTTGGAGCCTGTTTTTTTTGGATTCAGGCAAGTTTACTTGCATTTTTGGATTCAGGCAAGTTTACTTGCATGGCGTTCGCCCCCCCCCCCCCCCCCCCCCCCCCTCCCCCTCGCCCCTCTTCAAGCGAATACGAACGCTGGCGTGGCAAGTGCCTTTCGACTTGCGTGATTTCCGCGCCCCCCCTGCGACGGGCTTGCTCAGGCTCACCCCCCCCCCCCCCCGTCCATGCAAGTAAACTTGCCAGAGTCTAAAAAAAAAATAGGCTCTTTCCAGCTTCCATGTGCAGGGTCCGGCTTGAATAAGGAACACTTGCGTTTCAAAAGGGGCTCGGTCGTTCCTGTGGTTTGCATGCGTTCCGCTAGCCTTTGGGCGACGATCCCCCCTGGTGTCCCTTGGGACCTCCTAGATTTACTTAGGAAAAAAGGGGCGTCGTTCCTTATCTATCGTTCCTTAGGTCAGGCCGAACATCGGGCCGGGCAAAAGGGAAGCATAGCAAAGGCGGGCTTTAGAATCAGCTCACGTAGCTGATTTTCCCGGCGCCTCCCGGCGCCGGAGGCGGCCATGTATCGAGGAATGGGCCTGGCGGCGGGGTCGAAACCAGCTGCATGCAGCAGAGCTCGCACCCCCCGTCCCTTTACCTATCCCCCCCTTTCGATCGGCCCGATCCTCCTCCTCCTCCTCCTCCTCCTCCTCCTCCCCTCCTCCTCCTCCTCCTCCTCCTCCTCCTCCTCCTCCTCCCCCGCCCCCTCCCCCTCCTCCTCCTCCTCCTCCTCCTCCTCCTCCTCCTCCTCCTCCCCTCCCCTCCTCTCCTCCTCCTCCCCCTCCTCCTCTCCCTCGATCGGCCCGAGAATACTGGAAGAGCTCAGGACTTGCCTCCCGACTGGCAGGGTCGGCGTCGTCTCTCAGGACGTGCTGGTAGAGGCCCTGCGAGGGGCACAGCAGGCGGCCGACGCGCCCGCGCCAGCGGCCGCCCGCCGGGTTTGCGATCCTGCTGCTGTTGGCGCCGACGTAGGACACCTCTTAAGGGCGCCCGAGGTGGGTTCCTCCTCCGTCTCCTCCTCCTCGCTCCTCCTCGCTCCTCCTCCTCATCCTCCTCCTCCTCCACCTCGCTCACTCCTCCTCCTCCTCCTCCTCCTCCTCCTCCTCTCCTCCTCCTACCGTCAACCAGTACAGTAAGGATGCGCGAAAAAAAAAAACGGTCTCGAACGTATCCCTATCCCTAAGATGGGGCGAGCAACAAGCGAGGACAATCTTAGGGGATAGGCCCTCAGAAACTGAGGGAACCCTTAAGATCGGCATCGAGGTGAGGTGATGTCAACACATAGGGATAGGGAAATGCTTCAAACTGGTAAGATAAGGATGCAAGGCCCTTGGGACCGGGGCGCGGCCAACGGAAGCGGCCGAGGATGGACCGAAGAGGGAGGGATGCAAGGATACCCTTGTGAAGGTTGCCCATCCTTACTATTCGGGTTGACTGTACGGACAAAAATGCACACCATGCCCAGCAGCAAATGTCGGTGGCAACCCATGGGAGCCTCCCATACCATCTCGTCGGATCTTGCGAATTGACGCCAGTCGACGCCAAATCGGCGCTCATCGATGCCAGATCGTCGCGAATCGACGCTCACCGACGCTAAATCGGCTGTGTCTCATCGACTCCCAGACGCTAATCGACGCCAGCCGACGCTAAAGACACAATCACGAAGGTACACAAGGCTCCAATGACTTGCTGCCGAAGCAAATGTTGCCCAAAACCAACAGAGGCCGCTGTTGGGCAGGCGGCCTCCCGTCTCAAGCGCACCCCGCCCGCGGCCACACCGACAGCGAGTCCTGCTCAAAAAGGACAGGGCCTGTGGTAGGTCTCTGTGCCCATTCTTCCCTTGCCCGCTAAAGTTGAACCCGATTGGACAGGACCCGCGAGAGGACACAAGACCCTTCCAAGGACCACATTGCCATAGGAATGTAGGAGGCATTGGTCGCGAGATACAGGACACAAGGGTACTCTTGATTCGGGAGGGTCGCCCTACTCATCAGGGCCGACTGCACTCCCAGGACCTCCCCCAGGGTGCGCTCTGACCAAAACTTCTGAGGCGAGTCCAGCGGGGGCGACGAGGGCCTCCCAGGAGGCCCCAGAGGGGAACAACGAGGGAGGGGTAATTCGCGGTATGGGTACTCCAGATTTCGTAATAAAGGGAGGGGGGTCTCATTTCGGGGGGGGTCTCTTCCAGGCTATCTTGGAGGGCCTGGGGGGTCTGGGGACGATGTTTTGGAGGGTTCTCCCACGGGGGAGGTCTGAAATGGCTTGTCTTGGAGGGTCCAGACCCCCTCCCTTTTATTACGGAATCTGGAGTAATCACCTTGTCTTCCTCTGACGTCGATCGCCCCGAGCCTCGTACCTGCCGAACACGCTGCCGTCCTCGAAATAGTCCCGTCCCTGGCCCGCCGCCTCCAGCGCCGCGATCCCAGAGAGGATCCGCGCCCGCTCCTCGGGGGGCACGCGTTCTGGTGACGCGGAGGCCGGAGGTGGGAGGGAGGGAGGGAGGGAAGGAGGCAGGGAGGCAGGGAGGGAGGAAAAGGAAGGAGGAGACAGGAGGTGGGAGGTGGAGGAGGAGAGGAGGAGGAGAGGAGAGAGGAGGACAAGGAGGAGAGAGAAGGAGGAGGAGAAGAAGGAGGAGGAAGGAGGATGGAGGAGGAGGGAGAGGACGATGGAGGAGGAGGAGGGAGGAGGAGGAAGGAGGGGGAGGAGGAGGGAGGGAGGAGGAGAAGGAGGAGTGAGGAGGGAGGAGGGAGGAGGAAGAGGGGAGGAGGGAGGAGGGGAGGGGAGGAGGCGAGAGGAGGGGAGGGAGGAGGTGGGCGGTGGGGCCCACGCGCCCGCGGCACACCCTTCCGGGCCCGCTCCTCCGACGGCACCTCCCCCTGCTCCGCGGCACGGGCCCCCGGGAGGAACCGTGGCGACCCCTCCCCCCACGGCCGGCCTCTCGGAAGGCGCCCTGGGGCACGCAAATCAAGAGACACACATAACAGGGTTCCTCCCATATTTCTCCATAGGTTCTGGGTTTTTGTCTTCCCCCCCACTTCCCACTTTTCTGGGGCATCGACGATGAATTGTGTCTGTCTGTGTTTTTCTCCCCTCCCGGCTCTCGTCCGGGGCCGCTGCTTGCGGCCTCGGCGCCGGGAAGCAGCTCCCAGAGGCCGAGGGCGTGGACGAAAACTGCCGCCGCGGCGCGTCCGAGGCGGGGATCCATCCAGATCCACCGGCTGGGAGCCGACCCCAGACCCCCTCGCGTCGTGACAAAAAAAAATCACGACGGGAGGTTTCTGTCGCTATTTTCGGCCCCCGGGGGCCTTCCCCAGGCCTCGGGACTGTCAGAAAACGACTCAGGACAAGAAACCCGTCCCGGGGAAGGGGTCCAAATCTCTGGGGGTCGACGTCATAAAAAATCACGACGTCGGGGGTCTGGGACGTTGTGGTGCCCTGGCGGGCGGTGGGTGTATGGATATATATATATATATATATATATATTGGCCCACAGGGAGCCGAATAGATCCGGATTCACCGCCTGTGGAGGTCCGCCAAGATCGATCTCCTGGACGGTGGTTATGGAAACAAGTCCCGCCTCGGAGCGTTTTCCTCTGAGGTGAAGGGGGACAGCTGCTTCGTCCCGGATCGTTTCTTGATGGCCGACGGCGCAGAGGCGCACCAGCGCGCCTAGTGCTCCGCACTGTGCCAAACAGAGGTTGGCTCCAGGACCTGCACCAAGGTTAGGTCGGGCATGTCCCCCTACAGGCAGATTCTGGACACAAAAATGAAAATACTCAGCGAAATATTTGAAACTAGTCAAACGAAGACTAGGAACATCGTCTCTCGACGATGCGTTGACTATTTCTGCACATTCCTCCTGTGGAGGGAGGGACATGCCCGACTGAACACCAGGGGTGCGTCCTGGCGAGAAGTCCGAAGGGAGCCTCCGCCGCGGCGGCGAGGGAGGCCCCCTCGGAGCCGCACGCAGAGCGGCAGGAGCACAGGGGCGCGCGCCGCGGGGGCCAGGGCATTCTTGGGCGCTCACGACGAAGCCCTTCGAATGGCCAGTGAAGGACGGGCCGAAGGTGCCAGGATGACGGGGGCCCTCGGAAGAGCTGCTCCAGATGCCGTGATATAAAAGAGAGGGGGGATCATCACAGCCCTCTCGGACGAGCAGTTCTAGACTCCCCAGACCAGACCACACATGAGAGGGCAGCCCTTTGCCCAGGCCCCACTGGAACCCTCCAAGGCAGCTCCAATCAGACCCCCCCTAAAAAAAAATCAGACCACCACCTTTACATTGTGAAATCCGATATACTTAAATGTTGGCCGAAGGTACAACGATGAAAGCTACTCCTCCTGATGATCCTATCACAGGGACAGAAATTGACACCCGAGCACCTCGTCCGACGCGCCGATGCCGCGGTCGCAGCCCTCGATGGCGTCCATCGGAAGGAAAACATCGGCATGAGCATCAGCTGTCGGAGGTCTGCGCGGATTTCTTGGATCGGCGGTGGACATCCCTTGCGGCGCTCCTGGCGCCACCCCTTTTTGCGCTAAGCGCGCCCCGATCGGGGAAATCCACGTGGACCTCCGAAAGTTGAGGCAAGAGTCGATGTTTCTCCTTCGGGTCCAGGAGGTCGCCGACGCGGTCCTGGGGGAACAAAAACTACGAACACTGCCGCTCCCTGGACCTCTTCCGGGGCGCAGTGTGACCAGAGCCATGAGAAGAATCTAGCCGAGGCGACGATGGCTCCCCTCCACCTCCACATTGCATACCTTCCGACCTCCGCAGAAGGTGCGGAAGAATGAATCGAAACTCGTGGGCATCGTACGCAATTCTCGGAACCCCAAGGGCGGAAGGTTACATAGGGCGGAAGGTCCGGAAGGATGCGGGCGGAAGGTCTCCAGGCCCAGACATCTGACCACGTGATCTTGTCGATGCGCGACCCCAGGGAACTCCCGGCCCCGTCCCCAGGACAGTCTGGCGCCCCCGGGCCCGTAAAAAAACGGGCCCTGCGGAGGCCGAGAAGGAAACAAAAAACGACGCAGCGCCGCAGACTGGTGGACGCGCAGCGGCACCGGCAGGCATCTCCTGCCCCCTACCGCTGCCTCTCACCTCATGAGGTGAGGGACCACGTCAGGGCGGGGGGGGAGGGGGACAAACTCAGGGGGGAAACGCCCATCTTGGAGGGACAAGAAAGCACGTTAACATAAACTCGTGGAGGTCCGCGCGGATTTCTTGGATCTGCGCTGGGCCCCCCTCCCTGGCGCGCGGCGCCCGCCAGGGGCGGCGCCGGAGGCGCCGCCAGGGGGCCCCAGCGCAGATCCGCAAAATCCGCGAGGAGCGCAAAAAGTTGGTGTTTATCATAAGCACCAACTTTTTGCGCCCCGCGCGTAAGAAGAATAGCAACGCCATAAGCAGTTTGTGGCGTTGCTCTGCCTCGACACCTGCAGTCGGCGATACGGCGCCGCAGCAGGCCTGCGATGGGCCCCCGACAGCGACCCTGCACGGCCCTGGGCGGGGTGGGCCCTCGGGCCCACACCGGCGATGAATGGGCGTTCTTGGGGGTCGAGGCGCCCGCCGCCGCCGCCGCCTCCGCCAGCGCCAGCGCCTCCGCCTCCGCCTCCGCCTCCTCCTCCTCCTCCTCCTCCTCCTCCTCCTCCTCCTCCTCCTCCTCCCCCTCCTCCTCCTCCTCCCCCTCCTCCTCCTCCTCCTCCTCCTCCTCCTCCTCCTCCTCTGAGCCTTATGTTGCACCCGTCCGACTCAAGGACCACATCCCCGAAATCATTTCGAGCACCCGGAAGAAGTGTCGGAAGAGTGTCGAGACAGCGTCGGGCGAGTGTCTCCCAGGGCCCGGCACGTGAAACTCCTCGAGCTTCGGTGCTGTTCTGGTGCTCGAACTCCTTTCTGGTGCTCAAGGCTACAGCCGGTTGGAACATCATAACCTGCGCTGAGCCCCCCCCCGGAACGCCCGGAACGCCCTCGGCGGGGCGCAGCTGCTGGCGCGCGCCCCGAGGCCGGAGACCCGCCGAGGGCCGACGAGCACGCCCGAGAGCCTCGAGCCTCGAACCTCGGCGGCGCCGAGCCGAGGAGCTCCCGACCGCGGCCCCTTCGACGGCAAGGTCGTGTCGTTCCGGCTTCGGCATCGGCACCCGACGCTGCCGGGGACCGCGCTCAGCCTTGGCCGATCGGCCGCTTCCGGAGCGCCAGATCGTGCAGCAGCCACCGACTCTGGGTCGCCGGCGGCGTTCGACATTGAGCGCCGACAAAGGGGGCCGCCGCCGGCCCAATCGACGCGCCTATACCGTACACGCTAGGTCCGACGTCGTCTCGACCCATTCCCCAGGGCCGGTAATTCATCTCGAGTCGTTTTGTTGACGGTCCCGGGGCCGGGCGAGGGCCGCTAGAGGCCGAAAATCGAAAAAAACACCTCCGTCTTGATTCTTCCAATGCGTTGGAGGTCTGGGCAAAGGCGAGGTCCCCCACGGCGCCGCCCGCCGCCGCGTGCCGCCAGAGGCGGCGGCCCCGCGGCCCGCGCCGCGGCGGGGGCCCGCCCGCGCCGAGGCCGAGCCCGACGCCGAGCCCGACGCCACGCCACGGCGGGCCCGGCCCGAGCCCCGGGGCCGCCCGCGCGGCGGCGCCCCGGGGCGCGCCGCCGCCGAGGATCGGGCGCTGCCGGAGGCGCTCCTGCCGCGAAGGCGTCCGCAGGAGCTCCCAGGCGAGCCCACAGGAGCGACGAGGAGGAGCGGGCCTCGTCGTCGTCGTCGTCGTCGTCGCCGTCGTCGTCGTCGTCGTCGTCGTCGTCGTCGTCGCCGTCGTCGTCGTCGTCGTCGTCGTCATCGTCGTCGCCGTCGTCGTCGACGTCGTCGTCGTCGTCGTCGTCGTCGTCGTCGTCGTCGTCGTCGTCGAGGTGTCCGCGAAGTGTCACAGTGACCTTCTATATTGCACGAGGTGGCCTGCGCGGGCCGTCAGCGCGGCACGCCGCGCCAGAGGCGAGGGGGCGCTTGCGCGCGGCCTTCTTGCGCAGGCAGCCTGCAAGCGCGGCGAAGGTCGGCGCAGACGACCCCGCTCCTGCGCATCGCGCAGTTGGCCAAGAGGGCACCTCTCGCGAAGCCCCCGGAGGAGGACGAGGAGGATGAGGAGGAGGAGGAGGAGAAGGAAGAGGGGGATGATGATGATGATGATGATGATGATGATGATGATGATGATGATGATGATGATGATGATGATGATGAGGAGGAGGAGGAGGAGGAGGAGGAAGGGCGGAGGGGGGTGGGAGGCGGAGGAGAAGGAGGAGGAGGAGGAGGAGGAGGAGGAGGAGGAGGCTCTGAAGACTCTGAAGACCACCTCGAGAATTATCTCGCTCACCGCTACGCGCGCAAACCCCGACCCCACGGAGGAGCCCGGCCCTGCGCAGGTTCCGATCGGGGGAGGACCCAAAGGGCCAGGGGGCAACAGGGCCCCGAAAACCAGCACGCCCCAGGAAGAGGCCAGGAGGCCCACGACAGAATCCCCGAAAGGAATCCCTCGGCACTGGACTCCCCCCTAGGGCCGCACTCAGGCCTGAACGATATCACAGCTCAGAGAGTTGCAAGCTCCACCTTGAAGTTGGGCACCACCTCCACGCAACATGTGCACTTCACGCGCAAGTCCAAAAGAGGCAGAAACTCCGTAACAAAACTGTTCTCCTGCATCGGCATGCACTGCACGTACGCGTTCAGAAACAGGGGGCCGAACACGAGCTCCATGACGAGCTGCCGATGCGCTCCGCAAGCCAGGCTCGGAACTCGCCCTCGACATCTGCGCCATCCTTGTCAAAGAGCTTCCCGAGCGCGCCACCCTCCAGGAGCTGAAGGACTTCCTTCAGCTCCTTTTCGGATCGCGATTGAGCTTGATCTAATGTGGGGCCGTCTCCTGCCATACCACCAGTGCCCACGAGCTTGGGGAAGACTGGCATGGACGGCAAGGCGGCTTCCTTTACTGTCTTGCCCTTGTCTTTCTTGCCCTTCTCGCGCTTCTTCATGCTATCTGCGTCGAGGGGCGCTTTGAGGCCGTCCTCAACCTGCTTCTCGGTCACGTCGGCATCATCACCCACGATGTTACAGTACTCCACGCTGCTCGCTTTCTCCAGGGAGCTGTCGCGTAGCGCACCGAGGGTCCCGAAATGTCCTTCTTCTTCGGCTTCTTCTTCGCCTGAACAAGCTGCTTCTGCTGCAGCTCCTCCGGGGTTCGGCGTCACCGCCGGCTGCTGCTCCTTCTCCTTGAGCTTCGTCAAACGATTGGCCGCTTCCATACACCCCAGCTGCTCGAGGCAGACCGCGACCTCGAGCGTGCCTTCGGCTGCGTCACCGCCTCCCCCTTCATCTGCTTGACCTCCTTGGTCTGGATGGTCTGGGCCGTGGGCTGCAGGCGCACCTCCAGCATGGGGTCCGCCTTCACCGTGTCCGGGTCCAGGTCCTCCTCCTGCTCGCACTCCTCCCTCTGGTACTCCCCCAGGGCCCGCGCCAGGTTGGACGGCTTCCGCACTGGCGACCGAAAAGCCCTGGGTTCCCGCACCTTGACCTTGTTGCTCTCCTTCGTGACCGGCTCGTACCCGAGGTCCGACTTGCCGTAGATCGGCCCGAACCCCAGCTTCGACCTGATCCGCTCGTTGGCCTCCCTCTCCCTCTGGCTTGCCAGGATCGTCTTCTTGTCCCAGCACGGCGGGATGATGGAGCCCGCCTTGCTGAGGTGGTGCGCCAGCTGGAACGCCATCCGCGCACACGATCACCTGCAGCCGCAGATGCTCCTGGGCGCCCGACTCGATGACCTGCAGTAGGCGACCAAGCACCAGCCATGCGTCGGGGCCCTACGCGACGCTGAGGCTGACGAACACCTGAAGATCCCTGCGCATCAGCGCAAGGAAACCATGGCCCGCGGCAGCTGCGCCCCCTTCAAGAAAGGCTGCCGTCAAAGACCCCGCCCCTCGAGGCCTGCAAGGGGCTAGGAGGAGGAGCGTCAGATCTGACGTCCGACCCCTTCCTCCCATCCCTTACCATTGCATAGATCTCGTCTCTATTCGCAAAATCGGATGTAGTAACATGGCATACCATTACACGGCATAGCATGGTGTGAAAGACAAGCGCGTAGCATGACATAGCATTGTGGGCTTCTGCGGCCCAAACAGAAACAACGAATCGACACAGAATGTGGAATCACTTTCGATGTTGCTTGTCGAGGGCCATGTTCTAGAGTTCGGAGCCTATGTGGAAGGATCGAACACCATGCCGTTGCATGGCACTGGAAATAATGACGTCAGCGCTGCGGCGGGAGCACGATTCGGAACGAGCGAAGCGCGGGAATGAGGCCAGCGCTGCAGCGGGAACACGATTCGGAACGAGCGGACGCGCGAAAATGAGGCCAGCGCTGCAGCGGGAGCACGATTCGGAAC